GTAGAGACAGGGTTTCACCATGTTGACCAGGATGGTCTCGATCTCTTGACCTTGTGATCCACCCGCCTCAGCCTCCCAAAGTGCTGGGATTACAGGCTTGAGCCACCGCGCCCGGCCTTCAATTGAATTTTCTAAGTCATTGTTTCCAGTTGTTTAAATGCAACTGTTCAAATCAAAGTTCATCATTTTGTTTGGAACAACTTTTGTGTGACAATCAAACGGTAATGTAAATGAGAAAGCAAATAGGCATATAATGACAGAAAAGTAAGTGGCAAAATAACTACAATCGTTGTTCCACTGGCTACTGCAGGACAATAAATAAAATGACAGTTAACCAAAAACACTTTTATTTTCGTCTTCAAAGAAGAAACTCTTCTTTTTCCAGGATAATCATGATTAACTTACAAAAATGAGTACACATCTTCAAAGCACTTCCCTTTAACGGGAAACTTAGCTTTATAGGATTTAAACAGAAGGCAAAAAAAAAAATTCCATTTTCTTGTCATTATAAGACAAAACAGAATCTAGTGTAAGCCAAGGAAACTCATTCATACTTCAGGTCCTTCTCCTCCAGGAACCAGCNAATTCCATTTTCTTGTCATTATAAGACAAAACAGAATCTAGTGTAAGCCAAGGAAACTCATTCATACTTCAGGTCCTTCTCCTCCAGGAACCAGCTGCATAAAGAGGAAAGACAGTTTATTAATAACACTACCACCATGTCATCTAAAAACCCCTTGCTCTTCATAAAGCTACCTTTACCTCTCCCCACTTCACATTTCCATTTTCTCGAGACTGTCAATATCTATTTACAATTCCCAACATCATCAATTAATACTTACTATCGCAAAGCAATTTCTGACAAAATAAATGATTAAAAGTTCCAAGCAAACTAACTTTAGGCCTCAATAGCTCAGCTGTAGGGCCCTGACCACAGAGAACCCCTTTCCCATCTTAAACACCACTCGGCCATGATCATTTAGTCAAGGAAGCCGCATTAAGGTTAGTTCTTAATCACTGCCCCACAAAAATGGGCTCCCATCTAAATAAAACAGTTTCAATGTGTCTTACCATTGTTATATTATTTCCATTTAGCAAAATCTGATCTAATTTAGTAATCCTTCTTCCTTCTGGTGTAATTTCACTAAACGAATAGATAAAATACAGTCAGGATAAACAGTGACAATCAAAGCCAACATTTTATAAATACTTTCCCTCCCTCAAAAGGTTATTCTTGTAACCAAACTACTGTGAAGGCAATTACATCAACAATTTTCAGATACAAAGGTTATCCACTAGGTAACGTAACCTTCATCAAAAGCAACAGAATGAACTCACTGACCTAATACCCACAGGTATCAGGCAGATCTTCATGAAAAGAAGTGAAAGCTTGCCAAGGAAATCAGATATGAAATGAAATGTCTTTTGGGTTTGTTTTGTTTTTTTAAGAGACAGGGTCTTATTCTGTTGGCCAGGCTCAGTACAGTGGTACATACAATTATAGCTCACTGCAGCCTAGAACTGCTAGGCTCATGAGATCCTCAGGCTTCAGATCAGCTAGAACTACAGCTGCCCCTCACCATAGCCAACAAATTTTTAAATTTTTTTATAGAGACAGGGGTCTCCTTTTGTTGGCCAAGCTGGTCTCAAACTCCCAGGCTCAATCTTCCTGCTTTGGCCTTCCAAAGTGCTGGGATTACAGCAGTGAGCTACCATGTTCAGCCTAAATGCTCTATCAGTTCCTTGATTTGACTTGAACCCTAAGATTCCCGGCTTTTTGTTAACTTCTACCTTAAAACTTTGTCTCCACTAATTTTCTAGGAGTTTAGTAATGACTAAGGTAATAATGCTCTGATTCAATTTTACAAATAAAGAGATAAAATGTCTATCTTTAAGGTTATTCCAACAAGTAATTTTTTCTCACAATTTTACTTAATAGTAGTAAAACTGTCTTTAATTAAGAAGAGAATTCTGTCTTTCCCCCCAATTTTTTAAGTTTTAACATTACTCACAACTCAGTGACATCTTCCAGTACCATATCTGAAATTTGGTGTTAAGAAAATACAGAATTTACTCTAGCTTCTGCCTTTGTTCAGCTTTGTTTCTGTTTTGGTGGTTTGTTTTTTTTTTTAGACAAGTTCTAACTCTTGTCATCCAGGCTGGAGTGCAGTGGCACAATCACCCCTCACTGTAGCCTCAATCTCTTGGGCTCAAAGAATCCTCCAGCCTCAGCATCCCAGAGTAACTGAGCCCAGAGGTGCACGTCTAATTTTTGTAATTTTTGTGGAGACAGGGTTTCATCATGTTGCCCAGGCTGGTCTCAAACTCCTGGGCTCAAGCGATCCACCCACCTCGACCTCCCAAAGCACTGGGATGCCAGGCATGAGCCACTGGGCTCGCCTGTTCAGTTTTAATTATAATGTTTAACACAATGGCTCAAATTCAGAATGCTTGTTGTGGATAGGAACGTTACCTTCTTCCAATACATATCCCTAAAAACATTATCATAAGTTTCCTGAGAATGAACTGATTTATATTATAATAATCACAAATACACTGATTGTCTATAGTTCTTATGTTATTAAATACTTAAGAAAAACCTATGTATACCACCACAACCTTTTAAAAGGATACTGACAAAGTCATCAAATCCTAGAAGAGTACCAACAATTTCCTTATCACTCTTCATAACAATGTGAATTCTTGATCCAATACATTTGTCCACAAGCTCTGAGAAAGGAAAAAATATTATTTTACCATTCATTATTTCAACAAATATTTGAGAGCCTACTGGCACTCTTACTTGCATATAGTGAAAGAAAAACCAGGAAAAATATTCATTCAATAACTTCAGGTCTTATAATACAAATCTCAGTTCAAGCACAGCGTCTGGCACATAATGAGCATTTCAAGAGTCTGTGGCATGAAGGAATGAAAACTTTTCAATCATGGCCATGTCCACTAACTCAATCACTCTTCACCAGCTACAAAATGTAAGAGAAGATAGGCATAATTATATTCACTGGAAATTCTTTCCTGTCACTGCTTCCCTCCCCTAACTCTGACTATCCTCTGCTCTGACACCAGCTTGAACATCTCTTTAGCCAGCCTAGCATTATGTAGCATGATGTCTATTTGTCCAGTATTCCCTCCTGCACTCGCTTGTGTGCTATCTGAAGGCAATGGCTATGGTTTAAGTTTATCGCTGAAAAATGCCTAGGCACGGCATCTAGTGTATAGATGCTCAGTAACTATTTGTTGAATGAATGAATAACAAACAGAGGCAGTTTGCAGATTCCTCATTTAAGGCTCATTCCGGACCAGGATGCTAGTGTCATTAACCAATCAGATACATAACGTAGTCTATCTAAACCAGGGATCATAAACGCCAGGTTGAGAAGTGGGCCTACTATCCATAACACTGCAGAGGCGGGTCACAACAAAGGAGGCCGACGACGCGTTCATTAAATGTGGACCTTTTCCAGTGACGGTCTAGCTTGAGAAGCCAGACCACGTTAAAGAGCGGGGCGGCCTGCTGCCGCGGGGACCTGCAGCGGTGAGTCCAACCGCATTCGGTCCCATACACTTCCCCACTCTCCGCCAGGGCCTGCCTCGGAACAGTCCCTCGCTCCCAATCCTGAGCTTCAGCTCCCTCTGCCTCCTCCCAAAAGGAGGGCGATTACCTAACGGCAGCAGCTGCGACGGGTTGGTAGTAGCGTTAGCCGCCATGGCCACGCCGGAAGTGTCCTGGGTTCATAGACAGTGGGACGACTTTGAAAAGCGCGCTTCCGCTTTTTCCGCAGACCTAACAGACTCGACCAATCTGAGACCGAGCGTGCGATCTAGCAGGCCGCTTGGGTCGCGTTCGCTGGCTTTTCGTCCTCGGCAAGCGAGATCCGGGGAAATATTTCCTGCCCACTGGACATTTTACCATCTCGGCCGATACCCACTCTACCCTCAAAGTTTTAGAGAGACGTTAAAGGTTTTGCTTTATGAATAAATTTTTCCTTTAACCTTTGAGTCGTCTTCCCCTGTAAGCCAGAATCTTCTTCAAACCAGTATAACTCAATTAATATTTCCTGTCATCAATTAAGTATTACAATTTTGGTTAAAACTACTCATTTTCAGCCGGGCGCGGTGGCTCACGCCTGTAATCCCAGCACTTTGGGAGGCCGAGGCGGGTGGATCACGAGGTCAAGAGATCGAGACCATCCTGGTCAACATGGTGAAATCCCGTCTCTACTAAAAGTATAAAAAATTAGCTGGGCATGGTGGCGCGTGCCTGTAGTACCAGCTGAGGCAGGAGAATTGCCTGAACCCAGGAGACGGAGGTTGCGGTGAGCCGAGATCGTGACATTGCACTCCAGCCTGGGTAACAAGAGCTAAACTCCGTCTCAAAAAAAAAAAAAAAAAAAAACTACTCATTTTCTTAAAGAATCTCTTGTTTCTTTTTAAAGTACAGTGGATTGAAAAATCTGCAACTAGCGTTTTTAAAAAACTTTAGTGGGGATTTAAAATATGTTTTTTAAATTTTTTACTACTTTAATTCATCGTTCTCATCTTTTTATATCTAGTAGTCTTATTTATTATAGGCTTTTAAATTGTTTCTTCAACAATTATCGTCTAACAGGCAACCATCAGATGTCACTCTAAATTATATGTTAACATCACCACACTTGGAAAATCATGCTTTGTGCTTCTGTTTTGAAAAAAATAAAAAGCAAATAAATTATCTGCTCTAGTCTGTTTTGTATTTGTATCCTAGGAACTTACAGCTAAACAATCTAGGCTGGACTTGATGGCTCCCGACTGTAATCCCAGCACTTTGGGAGGCCTAGGCAGGCAGATCACCTGAAGTCAGGAGTTTGAGACCAGCCTGGCCACATGGGTGAAACCCCAACTCTACTAGAAATACAAAAATTAGCTGGGTGTGGTGACATGCACCTGTAGTCCCAGCTACTCAGGAGGCTGAGGCAGGTTGCTAGAACCCCAGAGGCGAAGGTTGCAGTGAGACTAGATCGCTCCACTGCACTACAGCCTGGGCAACAAGAGCAAAATTTGTTGGGGGGAGGGGGGGTGGGAATCCTGAACAATAAACTTGAGCAGCCACAAAGAGCATCATTTGTTCATACAACAAATGGTCATTAAGCACCCATCATCCTTCATAGCCTGAGTTCCCCAAGGCTGAGAGTTGTGGGAAGCAGTAGTTTATGTGATTACATTTCTTAGTTTTCAATTACATGACTGGTTCAAATTCCATGGTCAGTTATTTGACAATGGGCAAATTATTTCAACTTTTTAAGTATCAATTTACCCATTGGAAAAAATGGGGATAATAGTATCTGTTCATAAAATTATTGTGAAGATTCACTGAGATAATCTATCAAAAGTGGTCAGCATAGGACCTGGCACATACTAAGCCCTTTTAAACATGAGCTGTTACTACTTATCTTTGTTTCCTAATACTTTACATGATGGCTGGATCCAAGTGAAGCTACATAGAGATGGCTTTGCTAGCTGGTTTGGCATTCATCTTATTTTTATCACCAGACATAAGGCACTTTAAGGAAGCAATTTCTTATTTTATACACTGTGCACACTACATTTCCAGGCACCCTGTAGGGTCTAATAAATATTCTTTTAATTGAGTCATTATTTCATTCATACCCATTGTGGGTAACCCTCCACACTGAAGAAGGAGACCTAAGCAGAACCCTGGCACAGCTAGGGCTTGAAAAATATCTCAGTTTATAGTGTTACTACTCAGCTATTTCCTTTTATATAATCCTTTATATAATCATATATTAGTTTATAGAATTAGGGCTTAAAGAATTCCTTTATATAATCCTCTATATATAATCATAATAGTTGATAGTATGAGCCCCTAAAGAATATTTCCCTACACATATATATAATTATATCTTAGTTCACAATTGGAGGAATGCCTAGAGTGGACACAGTACAGAGCATGAATTAAGAAATAAGCAGCTTGGCCGGGCGCGGTGGCTCAAGCCTGTAATCCCAGCACTTTGGGAGGCCGAGGCGAGTGGATCACGAGGTCAAGAGATCGAGACCATCCTGGTCAACA